TACGGGGTTTGAGCAACCCATGGCGGAGGACTAATTGACACAGTAGTTCGACAAACCAGACATGGAAGGTAGAGGCAAAGTTTGTGGCTATTCTTTGGAGTATTTGGAAAAGGAGAAATAATGCGGTTTGGAAAAATCAAGTACAGGAGGCCTGTAGTGTATTAAACACGGCTGCTAGCATGTTGGCTAGCTGGAAGGAAGCTCAAGAATCTGGTTCGGAGAGGGCAACATCAAGCTAGAGCAGGAGGGATAAATGGGTTAAACCGGGGAATTGAACTATCAAGATTAATGTGGATGAAGCGGTGAACCAGAAAGGGCAGAAGAGAGCTTGGGGCTGGATTATATTGCTAGAGATGAACATAGGGATTTTATTAAAGCTCTGGAAGCTTCTCACACGATGGGGTGAACTGCGGCTGAGACAGAGGCATTGAGCGTGCGTGATGCTCTGCTGGTAGCGGTGGAGGAAGGTTGGCAGCATGTGGAGATAGAGACGGATGCTTTATCTGTGGTTCAAGGTAGGCATGGACTCGGACCGGGCCCGACCGGGCTTTTTTGGAACCTTGAGGCCCGGAACCGGCCCAGGTAGCTACCGGGCCCGGTTCAGGCCGGGCCACCAGACGGGTACCGGGACGGGTCGGGTACCCTATTTTTTTCTTCAAATTACTTCCTACCTCCCCCACCCCCATCCTCACCCCAAACCCCTCCAAAACACCTAGCCCAACCCATTTACCTTTTAAAAATTTTGAAAAACAAAAAAATGAAATTTGGCCTGGACCGGGCCGGTTCGTGATTTGGGAGGTCCGGGAACCGTCCCTCAACAGTGCCGGGCCGGGTGACCCGAACCGGGCACATGAACCGAGTATCGGGCCGGGCCGTAACATTATCGGTTCTGGCCGGTTACGGGTCGGTTAACCCGGCCCTAGTCCATCCCTAGTTCAAGGCATAAAGAAGGGAGAGAGTTCTTCTTATCTCCATCTCATTATTGACGATATCAAGAAAATTTTAGAAACAAAGAGTAATTTTATTGTCTCTTTTTGTACAAGGTCTGCGAATCGTGTTGCTCATGCGCTTGAAGGGGAACACATTTGTATTTTAAAGCAGAGGGTTAATTATGATGTGGTTCTTCAATGTGTTGTAAGTAGGGGTGGGTGAAAATACCGGAAAATCGGTATACCGCACTTACCGTACCGAAAAATACCGGAAAATACCGGAATATTGGTATACAGTTATTTTCGGTACGGTATGATACTGTACCGATTTATTTCGGTACAATAACGGTAAATGTTTTCAAATACCGTGGTATACCGGTATAATACCGTACCGATTTCCTACCCAACAATTACTTTTAATTCTAAAATATCGTAAAAGTCCATTACAATTTTGATGCCCAAATTTAGTACTTAGGTTGGTTACAAATACTAAAATACAAAAATAAAGACCCAATTTCTCAAACCCACTATAACCTTCTAGGATTCTGTTGCGTATTATTCAAACAAATTAATTAACCCTAATGACTAATGAGTAATGTACTAATATCCAGAAACAAGTCGATCTTGTTCCAAGAGCTTGCGAGTCGTGATGGCTGAACCGCTGAGTAACTGACGAGTGAAGAGGGATACACTTATGTGACGAGTGTATCTACATAGGGATTTCACGAGTCGAGACACACAACTTTGTTCAAAAGTCTTATTCAAATATTTGTTTAAATAAATTATAAAAATGACTAAATATATAATGAATATAATATTAGGAACACATGATTTTATATCCATGTTGTTTGAATAATTTTATTTATTTTTGTTAGAGATCACTATTGATTTAATTATATCTATATTGTTCAAGTTATTTTAGAAAAATGTAGGGGTGGGCATAAAACCCGAACCGAACGGGTACCGAACCGTCCCGTAATGGTACTGAATCGAATACCGGGTATTTAAACGGTTCTATAGATTTTTATTCCGTACCGAAATCGTACCGTTTGAAACTGGTACGAGACCGGTCCTAGATTTTGAGAACCGAAAAATACCGGACCGAAACGTTCGTAAATAATGCATTTGATTTTTTTTATATTTTTTCTATATCAATAGATCTAGACCAACAATTTTATACCCCAAGTATGTATTCATGTGTCCCTAAGATATCTAAAATGTGTTTTTATATATATTGTTAGTTTTTCTTTTTAGATAATTTATGTTATATTTTGGTATGTATTGAAAGAATATTAAAATTTTAGAAATCATTAATGATTATTTATTTCTAGTAATGTAGTGTACATGACTTTTTGTTGTATCATGTTTGTGCATTTTTTACAACTTAATTAATATGGTTTAAATCTTAGCTCTCAAGGTTCAACTATAAATTAAATTAGAACTACAGAGTAGTATTTAACCTAGAACGAAGAAGAAAAATGTTGAAGATTTCTATTATATTCAACAATTTGGTGATATTCGTTTTTATATTTTCACATGAACTTAGTAAATTAAAAATGATATTTATCTCGTGGGTCATCGTTTTGCTATACTTTTTCTTAGTTGTGTTGCACTATTTGTGTATTTATGAATTTTAGTACTATGTATGCAATTTCTTGTATTTATTTCAATATTTCATGTGAGTTGGTTGGTGTGATGATATCTACTAATTACAAGATTTGTTCAAAAAAATTAGCATGTGTTTGACATTGTACCGTACCGTTTTGTAACATTCTGAAATGACATGGTACCGAGTGGTTCTATCCTTGGAACCGGACCGTACCGGACCGTTAAAAACCTCACGGATACATTACGGGTTTTACCAATTTACTGGACCGTTCCGGACCGCGCCCACGCATAGAAAAATGTGTTAATTTTTAATATGTGGCATGTTAAACTGCTTAAATATACTAATAAGAATTATTGTTCAATTTTTAATATGACATCAATAGATTATTAATTGTATTATGTAAGATTTTAATAATGGATTAAATTTTTCGATAGTAACACCGATTTAGTATATTTTTTATATTTTGTTGTATTAGGAGACATGCATGTTAATTTATTGATACTGTACTGTTACCAAACCAAAACTTCGATATACCGAAATGCGTTGTACTGAAACTTCGGTAAGGTAACAGTATATAAATTTTGTATATCGAAAGGTTTGGTACGACAAAGGTATGAAAAAATATTAGGAGACAGCTGGCGAATGATTTGTTGATCTAAAATATTACTCCCTCCGTCCCATAAAATTCTTTCCACTTTCCTTTTTGGGCTGTCCCAAAAAATTCTTCCCACTTACCATTTTTGGACAATTTGTGTGATTTTCATTCATTTCACATTTTTCTTACACAACCACAACCATACATTTCCATTTTATTCTACTTTCTTAATCTCCTTGCCAAGTCAAAGTGGGAAGAATTTTATGGGACGGAGGTAGTATTCAATTTGATGATAAAAAAGTGATAAACTAATACGTAGTACTCCCTCCATTCCTATTAAAACTTCCAACTTGGTTTGGCACACAATTTAAGATAGTGGATATTGTGTGGTGGAGAGTTGTGCAGAGGAGAGAGAAATGTGTAAGAAATGTTGTGAACTACAAATTCCTTACTAAAATGGGAAAGTGGAAGTTTTAATTGGAACGGACGAAAAAGGAAAGTTGGAAGTTTATTTAGGAACGGAGAGAGTACTATGTAGGAGTGGGCATGGTTGGTTAACCGTATTTCGGTTAACCAATTTATGGTTAACCGAAATATCGGTTAATATGTTTATGATATCAGTAACCGTACCATAATGACGGTTAACCGGGTAACAATTAACCATCTCATAGGTTAACCGTTAATCGGTTAACCAAAAAACCGTATATACAAAGTATATGAATAAACTACTAACTAGGTTCATTTTAATATTGCCGTATGAATAACGCCCTATACTAAATTACGTTACAGACGTAGTAAATTACGTATATGCAGTATTGTGATTTTCAGAATAACTTTTTTACCAACTGGAAGTTTACAACAATATATAATACTACATACGGAGTACGTATTACGAAGAATTTATACGGAGTACGTAATATGCTTCAACTGTGATTCAATATGTAGTCGTACTGTCTCGTAGTGTATAACTAAAAAAGTTAGATTTGAAACATACGTTTCAGAAAGTTGGAAAATTTCTTGTAAGATGCAATACCATATTCTTTGAATCTAAAATGAAATTTTAAATATAAAATCCGAAAATAAAATTAAGTATTAAATCTAAGATGCAATACCATATATATACTCCGTAAATTTGTAAATAAATATGGACAAGGAGTTAATATTGAATATAATACAGGGAGTTTTATGAACTCACATTGGATAAATAAGCAAAATGTATGTATGAATTTGGGAGCAATATATTAACTTTGGATTAGCGGTTAACCGGCGGTATTTAATTTCAAAACCGTAACCGTATAGTAAAACGTTTTTTCTACCGGTTGGTTAACCGTCCCGCAAGATTTAAAAAACACGGTATGGTTAACCAAAACAAACACCGGTTTTTCGGTTATTTACCGCGGTTAATCGGTTACGGTTTTTTTCGCCCAACCCTAGTACTATGTACTCCCTCCGTCCCTAATCTTTCTCCCTTTTCGGCTGGGCACATTTATTAAGATAGTGGGATTTGTGTGGTGGAGAGTTGTGCAGAGGAGAGAGAAATGTGTAAGAATGTGTAAGAATGGTTGTGAACCACAAATTTTTTGCTAAAAAGAGAAAGAGGAGATAATTTTGGGACGGACGAAAAAGGAAAGTTTGAAGATAATTTAGGGACGGAGGGAGTATGATTTAATTTAAATTTTAGGTTAAATCCCACGGAATAGCTACTTTTACGTATGTAAAGTCGAAATAGTGGCATACTAGGGAAACATAACTACAAAGGAATTACACTTTGTGTCCATCACTGTCTCACTGAAACATAAGAATTACTGACTAACGTTTCCATCCCAACCGAGTGTATAAATATTTGCCCTTATATCTGTTTGCTCTTGATTAAAGATCTTATTATAGCTATTAATTATGGCTCTCTTGCGTTTTCATTTTTATCTCATCTTCTTTTTTACTCTTAATAGGAAGGTTATGACTTCACCTAATCTACAAAATTATGATGAACTGGTTTTACCAACAGGAGTTGTTGGTCCTGAAAGTCTTTCTTTCGATTGCGTCGGTCAAGGACCCTATGCCGGTGTTTCTGATGGAAGAATCTTACGATGGAATGGATCAAATCAAAACTGGATTGAGTTTGCTGTTACAACACCTAATAGGTACGTACAAAGTTTTATATATATATTGAATGATTTACATTTGTAAAAAATCAAAATGAAAAGGACTTAGTAATGTATGTATGAATAGATCTGTTAGGTTACTTTGTTAAAATCAAAAGAAAATAAACTATATTTCTACCTTTGTTAAAATAAAAGAAGCCCTAATTCTAGAATGATGGATGGATGTGTATCTTTTCTTTTATATTCTAATTTAAATATTTAGTAAAATTTTGGCATTATTATGTTGTATCACTGATGTTTTGAAAGCTAAACAATTATTATCAATTCTGTAAAAAATCGAAAAAGTGGGAGGGTTTGATTGTTTAAAGATGAATAAAAATGAGAAGACTAGTAAAGATCGAGACGACAGATGAAGTTTTGTTCTTGTATTTTATTGGAACATTATTACCTTTTTCTTATGATATAAACCCATGTGTTGGTCTGAATTGCCTGTTCTAAAAATTCTATACCTGTAATAATTTTCTTGACAGAAATAATTTTATGATTATTGGGTATTGATTTTAATAATAATGTGGAATCCTTGTCTAAATAAATAAAAAGGCGAACTCTAAGAGCCCATTTGATAACACTAAAATTGACTTATCAGATGAATGTGTAGAAATTGATTGTCATTAGTTTTACTTATTTTTAACTCCATTAATAATCTATAAATAGTTATAAAAAACGAAAGTAACCCCTTGGAGTAGAGTTATGCAAACAACATTATTTTTTTCTTAAATAGATATTGCCGTAGAGTTAGAGAGGGATCAATAAAACCAAAACAAAATATATAGCAGGGACGGAATTTAAAACGAAAAATATATTGCATAGTTTTAAAATATAAGGTACAGTAGTGATAATGAGCTAATTATTTAATTAATGATGTTACTAAATTTGCTATTTGATTAGGGATAGAGCATTTTGCGATGGAACAAATGACTCCAGTAGAGAACCACAATGTGGCAGACCATTGGGTTTAAAATTTCATCCCAAAACTTGCGAACTTTACATAACAGACGCTTATTTTGGATTGATGAAAGTGGGACCAAATGGCGGAATTGCAACTCAACTTGCAAATTCAGCTCAAGGAACTTCTTTCAAATTTCTTAATGATTTAGATATCCATGATACTACTGGAGTTGTCTTTTTCACCGATAGCAGCACACTCTACCAAAGAAGGTACATATCATAACTTATTACTTATATTTAAAATTTGAAACTTAAATAATTAGTTGTGTGCTCACAATGCATGTATATATGTACCGATTGTATGTCATTAGGGATTTCTCACAGATCATTTCAAATGGAGATAGTACCGGAAGATTGTTGAGATTCGACCCAACTACCAAACAAGTGAGCATATTATATAGCGGGTTAGCATTTCCTAATGGGATTGTTCTATCCAGAGATAATACTTATCTCCTTGTAGTTGAATCAACAAGAAATCAAATTCTAAAGTTCATGCTTTCGAGTTCCGAAATTGGAACCCCATCTGTGTTTGCTCGAGTGGATAGGTTTCCAGATAATATCAGAAAGAACAATCAAGGGAACTATTGGGTCGCATTGAATACACCGAGGGGAGGATACTCTGAAAATTTACTGGGTGTGTTGTTTGATGAAAACGGAAGAGCAATTCAAGTTGTGAACGGTGATAGTGGCGATACTCTTGAATCCGTGAGTGAAATTGAAGAGCGTAATGGAAGAATGTGGTTTGGATCACCTCGGCAACCTTATGTTGGCACCGGAATTAGTTTTTAGATTTTATTTATATTTTAGATTTAGATTTGAGGTATCTGTTAGTTTAATTTTAATGTGTTTGTGACTTTGTGTTTTCCGGATACAAGTTTATTTATTTATTTATTTATTTATTTATTTATTTATTTATTTAATTATGCATTTGCTTGTTTTAAAGAGACGTATTTCTATTTGATCGGATAAAAGTTAATAACGATTTTTACGGATTTTTAATTTTAACAATAAGTTGAAGTTTATGTTCAAACCATTTCAATTAAATGTAACAAAACTTCTATATACAGCACTACAGCAGTGGTTTATCTAAGTTACGTTGAAATATAATTATTTAACATTTTCAGATCCCATTTTATGTGTTGTAGCGGTACCATAAGATGAGCTACATATTCACCACAATCTATTTTAAGATTCTAATATCTTATCGGATAAATTTTTTAAAACTAGTTTATACTTTATTACTCCCTCCGTTCCGAAATAATCATCCTGTTTTGACCTTCACAGAGATTAAGAAAATAAAGTTGACTTCACACTGTAGCGACACTGTTTGGCGTTGTAGCGACACTGTTTAGCACTGTAGCGACAGTGTTTAGCACTGTTTTGCACTGTTTGACACTGTTTTGTATAGATTTGTTTACCAAATAAAAAAAGAAGACAATTATTTCGGAACGGACCGAAAAGGAAAGTAGGACAATTATTTCGGAACAAAGAGAGTACTTAATAAGGAGCAACGTATAATACGTAGTACTATTATATTACTCCTCTTAAAGATTAAGAAAGCAAATAAGTTTGAAAAGATGTTTGATTGAATTATGGTCTTGAACTAAATAGAGATTCAATATTTCTAAATCTATGATCCTAGATAATTACCTAGTATTATGTATGTCCTGTACAAAAACAAAAAAGCTATGTGTAAACGCAATATTACACGGCATGTACACAACACAAAAAGCCCCCACCTCACCCGTATAAACTCCTCCCCTCCCTCCTTCCTTTCTTTTTCTTTTTTCTTCTCTCCCCCTGCGCCTAACTTTCTTCTCCCTCTTTCCTCTTTTCTTTTTTCTTTTCTCTCCCTCCCTGCGCCTAACTTTCTTCTCCCTCTTTCCTCTTTTCTTTTTTCTTTTCTCTCCCTCCCTGCGCCCAACTTCCTTCCACCCTCTTTTCCTCTTTTCATTTTTCTCTTCTCCCCCTCCATGTGCCCAACATTCTTCAACCTCTTTTCCTCCTTCCGTCTCCCTCGTAAATAACTCTCTTTATCTCCCTTCTCCATCGTTTTTTCTTTTCTTTTCTTTTCTTGAGGAAAAGAGGCTGAAGAATGTTGGACACATGGAGGGGGAGAAGAGAAAAAAGAAAAGAGGAAAAGAGGGAGGGAGAGAAAAGAAAAAAGAAAAGAGGAAAGAGGGAGAAGGAAGTTAGGCGTGGGGAGAGAGAGGAAAAAAAGGAAAAGAAAGAAAGGAGGGAGGGGAGGAGTTTATATGGGTGATGTAACACCGCCCCCAAGTATTTGTACTTCATCGAATTATATATTGAACCCTGAGAAATGTATAAAAGCGTTTTTACGTGATTGTAAATTTTTATCATTTCTGTTACGTGAATAGTAAAATTCACGTGGGGCCCACACCGGAGGTGGGGGCCGCTCGATATTATCGGGACCACATATTATATTAATCTTGGACTAGGTAATATGAAGGTGGTGGTGGATATCCTAATTGGGCCATGGAAATGGCATATAGTCGACCGGTTGGTCAAACGGGGCCAAATTATCGGTATCGACAATTTATCAGATAACAGCCCAAAAAGGGATTCCGGAGATTTCTAAATTAATGTTGGGGAATCATATTTATTCTAAGGTCCAATAAGTATTGGGAACAAGTGTTATATTTTATTTGACCCGATAAGATAAAATATACTTAAAACTGTCCGGAAAATACAACTTTCGGGACCGATTGTACACTCGGGTACACAAAGGGTTGACCTCCCACATGAGTGGGGGCCAACCCACGTCCTTGGTCTGGAAAATAGAAAGGGGAGCCGCATCATGGAGCTGAGAATTGGCTGGGGAAGTGATTGGGAGCAATCAATATGAGGGTGGGGCCTTTGCCATATGATTTGGTGAGAAATGCCAAAATGGCATCCTCAATCACCCCTCACCCCATATGCTCGATTCAATCATCCAAGGAAGGGAGAGAAACTCTGAAAATACTCCATTTCCTCATCCTTTCACGCACCAAGAACAAAGGAGGAAGAAGGAGGGGAAAAGAGAAGAGAAAAGTTGGTTTTGGAGAGGAAAACTTGTGTTTAGCAAGGTAAGGACTCCATTAACCCCATTTCGTTTTCTTTAATCATCTTATATGATTATTCAATCATATTTCACACCCTAGGATTGTTCTACACGTTGGGATGTGTAGAAAGAGGGGTTGGAAGGTGGTTCTAAGTCCAAGAACGGACTTAGAAGCCAAAGGACCGGTTCACCGGAAAATAACCTTTTGAAGGTTATTTATATTACTATGGGTTTTATGATGATAAAACCTTGTTAGTAACTTGTCTAAGGCATTCAAGGAACTTTCACGGGGTTGAAAAGGTTGCCGGAGTTGTCGCCGGAGTTCGTCGAAGTTCGCCGAAGTTTCACCGAAGCTAAATCGGGAAGGCTAGGACTTCATAAGCTTCATTAAGGTGAGAAGACGGCTTTATGCTTTATAACTTTTGCGTGAGGCATGATATTACCTAAAGTAATCAAGGATATGTTTTGTGGAATGATTAAAGATAATCAAGTATTTGCTTATGCCATGATTTTGCATAAAACATAGTTGAAAAGCATGTTATGTAGGTTTGGTGATTAAAAATGTGACAACATATTTTGTGTGATGATCCAGGGATCCAAAATGGTATTTTTGGATCAAGGACATCAAGAAGTATATGTGTATAAAATTTCAAGTTAATCGGACTCCGTTTGGAGGGTCAAAAGGGGTGTTGACCGCCAAGTCAACTGCCATACCCGACCGGGTATTGACACATACCCGACCGGGTATTTGCTGCAAAATTGCCCAGGGGGCTACTGTCTCCTATACCCGATCGAGTATAGGTAGATACTCGATCGAGTATACATGGAAAATTAGCTTTGGGGACTACCGCCTCCTGTACTCGACCGAGTATGGGTAGATACTCGATCGAGTATTGGTTTATGCTCAAAACGGGCAGTTTTGAGCGGGTTAATGTGGGCCGTTCAGGTGGGACCCGCCCACATTGGTTCCTAAGGATGGTTATATGACTATAGGGCTAGGTATTGTCCATAGTTGAAGGAACGAAAGGTTAGCCATATCCAGGTTAGGGTTTGGTAAGGATTTAGTTTGGGGTTGAGTATCCCCGGGACATGCAAATGATCTTGAAACTCAGTTGGGGTTGAGCATCCCCGGGACTATACATGATCCTGAAACTCGGTTGGGCTTGAGCATCCCCGGGACATTAAATGATTCTGAAACTCGGTTGGGGTTGAGCATCCCCGGGACTATACATGATCCTGAAACTCGGTTGGGGTTGAGCATCCCCGGGACTGCAAATGATCCTGAAACTCGGTTGGGGTTGAGCATCCCCGGAACATTTAATGATCCTGAAACTCGGTTGGGGTTGAGTATCCCCGGGATGCTAAGTGCTCCCAAAACTCGGTAGGATATTATAAATGTAGAATGTAGCTGGTGAGCTAAGCATTCGGGAAAAGGGTGAGAAAGGTCAGGTAAGAACTTTATCTCTAAAAGACTCTTTGAATGAAATGAACTACGGGTCGAGTATTTTACATATATATACAGTATGTATCATCGGATGAATGAGTTATATATATATATATATATATATATATATATGTATCACCCTATTTTTGGGTCTCGTGTCTGAAACATTAGTTATTCTTCATATAGTCTGCTTGTCACTAGTACTTCTATGGAGTACTGACCCCTCCGGGGGCCCTCACATTTTCAGGTTGAGGCTAGAGTCCTACTACCTGCATCTTTGCCTAGGGTGATTGACCAAGAAGGAAGACGTGGTTCGTGCTTCCATTCTTATTTCAAATATATAAACTGCTCATGGATTTTTGAACAATATTTTCATTAAAACAGTTGGGGGCCTGCGTGCCCGTGTTTGCCACGTGTGGCTAAGTATCAAACATTTTAATATTTCCGCATTTGTTTGATTTTGATATTGATGTTGATTGTATGTGTTTACTAATCGGTTTGGCAATAGAATCAATCGGACGCCTTGTACAACTCAATAGGGATGAACTGTTGTTGTTCTTATCGGGTTGTACGGCGGTTGTCTACGTGGCTCGGATGCGGTCCGGGGCGTGACAACTAAGTGGTATCAGAGCCATCGATTTCTAAACTATATAATTAACCTCTCAATATGGTTATCCTCAAGAAGTTTTGAATAAAACCATGAGCAACAGTTTTTGTACTTAAGGAACCGTTGGAAACCAAGTTATTGACCTCTTATTTTTAAAACGGTACCCTTAACAGTTTATTGGCCATAATGTTGGACCAAGTGATGTCTTTCGTACTAATCCGTCAATTGACATTGAAACGAGTCTAATGACTCATTCCTTATTTCTTTCAGAAATGGAGGGTGGACGCAGGATAACTAGGAGGAACCCGACAGGACATGTGCTGGGGGCCACCGGGCATGCCACTCGGGCGGAATCACGGACCTCTAGGGGTAGAGTCCAGGGCCAAATCCGAGGAGGAGGCCGAGGCAGGGGTCGTGGGCGTTCTACCACGCCGACGACAAGTAGCACACGCGTCGGTTCCGTGCACCCGTCATGGGCCACCGAACCGGACGACTTCACCTATGCTCCAAGCACGGAGCAAGAGGAGACCTCGTACAACGGGGAGGACTTTGAGGAAGAAGATGAGGATGATGATCCTCATTATGACCGTATGAGTGAGGTACTAGAGTGGTACCTCGAGAATAAAGCAAAGAGAGAGCAGCGGCGCCAAGCTAGACAGGCTAGGCAAACCATGGGGCAGGGAAGCCGAGGTGCTTCTAGTGCTCCATCTGGAGCATTTGGGGGAGACACGATGGTGCGTATCTCCAAGTATCTCAAGGAGGCCAGGGCCTTGGGGTGCA